TTTTTTTTTTTTTTTTTTTTTTTTACGTTCTAGCCATGTGTAGCTATTTAATCCCTCCGTTTTTTAAAAATATGTCAATTTTGCCTGAACAGGTCAGAATTTTTTTTCATATTTTTTCGCAGAAAGGTGATGACCTCGATGAAACGGCAATTAAAAAGGATCCCTTTCCCGTTATTGAAGTAGCGTTAGTACGATCGTATGCGCCTTTTTTAAAAGTCCCTGTTGGAATATGTCTTTTCTTTTCTTTCCGTTCGCAAGTTGGTGTGCGTGAAAAAAAAAAAGGTCGTTCCCACTCTGCACACAGTTGAGTCATGCGTCAATTGTGTGTGCAGGTGGGTAAGAAAGTCAATACGGATGTCGGCATAAACGTAACGTGTGTCACGTGTGTTTTACTCACTCTCATGCATGGAACACAAAAGGGGGCGCAACCCACGTATCAGCAGAGTTATCCCGATGGACTCGGTTAACCATGAGTATAGCGCGATGACCCCGCTTAACCAAAGAGCGATCCGTTGAAAGCAAAGTTTTGAGCAGCGCAATCTTTAAATTCAATGAAGACGCGTTCTGACTTGACATTTATGGTGTTGGCCAAAATTTTTGTAATTTTATCTGCCAGGGCAGTATTGTTCGACCTGCTAATTCCACTTATGCTGGTGACCCTTACGAAGCAGAAGCCGTCGTGGCTACCTCCAAAACGCATGTGCTTCTGATAGTCCAGGTTGCTCATAATGTATCCCATGGGTTTGTTCATCACTTGGGATATGGCTGCGAGGGGGAAATGTAAACCGGTGAAGAGTGGGGGGCGGCTCTCATATAGTGTAAAACATATAATGACTCATCTCACCATATACAATACAATTCTGCGTGGCAACAGTGTTGTGGAGGAAGCAGAATCGCTTCTTCTTTTTTTTATTTCTCTCCCCTCCTACGTACCATTTTCAATTTGCGTGAGCGCCTTCTTCGCGGCATCATCCGAAACGTTAATGTTTGTAGAAACTTGGCAGCACGGCATTTTGGAAAAAACAGGTGAGGGGATTTACGGTTATCAGTTGAAATGGCAAATGGGCAAAGTGAATTATTCTTATGTTAAAATTGGCTCATATATTTTTTTGCGGGCGAAGGAGTTGCTATATATGTACTCACGGGTGAGAGTTGTATATATAATAATTATTGGTAAAGGAGTTGTAAAGGCTTTTTTAAAGGGCATATATAGAAGGGCAAAAAAAAAAAAAAAAACAAAAAAAAAAAATGTATAAATAAAATGACATGAAATGGGTAAGAATAGGAAACCTCAGAGGGGCGAAATCACAACAGGGCATACAGATAATAGAAACGGCCCACTTGGCCTTGCATATATTGATTTGCTTTAAAAAAAAAAACAGGTGCACCTCTCACAATTTGCAGGGCCCGTTTTTTTTTTTATACATGCATAATGAAGGCCGCTTTTGTGCTGTGTCGTATGCGCATATCTCTGCTCAAGTGGCCTTCACTTAAGGTGACGCATGCGCGCGCGGCAACCACTGAGGCGGAGACGCTCTCCAGAGGAGCAAAACAACGTGTACCCCAACAACACTGACCAGTAAAATGGGCGTCGATGGGTGGTTTCTTCTTTTTTCAACTCCACCCCGTGTACCATTTGGGGCCTCATTACAATGCACAACAGGACATTAAAAAATAAAACCCATATGAGGCGCCCAGCACATCTTATAAAACAACGCTTCCTCTCTCCTTTTCTACTAGGACAATCCGAATCACATGGCCACAGGGGGTAGAGGGCGGAATTGTTTCACTTTTTTTTTTTTTTTTTTTTTCTCCACCTTTGTCCATGCTAAAAAAGCTTTTACAGGGGTTGAAATTATCTCTCAGCAGAGCAGCTGAACTCCCCATGGCCGTGGCGCGGGCAATTGGACGTTGTCCCATGTAGCAACGGAACGCTGCTTAGTTATAAAAAAAATGTTATGCCACAGTTGTTCCCACGCGGGTGTCACCTTTTGTGTGCAAAATGAACAGGCTTTCAAAGAAGATACATTAGTTGTTCGCACAACGGTGTGAAAAAAAAAAGGACATGCTTCTCCTTTTTTTTTTTTTTTTTTTTTTTTTACGTTCTAGCCATGTGTAGCTATTTAATCCCTCCGTTTTTTAAAAATATGTCAATTTTGCCTGAACAGGTCAGAATTTTTTTTCATATTTTTTCGCAGAAAGGTGATGACCTCGATGAAACGGCAATTAAAAAGGATCCCTTTCCCGTTATTGAAGTAGCGTTAGTACGATCGTATGCGCCTTTTTTAAAAGTCCCTGTTGGAATATGTCTTTTCTTTTCTTTCCGTTCGCAAGTTGGTGTGCGTGAAAAAAAAAAAGGTCGTTCCCACTCTGCACACAGTTGAGTCATGCGTCAATTGTGTGTGCAGGTGGGTAAGAAAGTCAATACGGATGTCGGCATAAACGTAACGTGTGTCACGTGTGTTTTACTCACTCTCATGCATGGAACACAAAAGGGGGCGCAACCCACGTATCAGCAGAGTTATCCCGATGGACTCGGTTAACCATGAGTATAGCGCGATGACCCCGCTTAACCAAAGAGCGATCCGTTGAAAGCAAAGTTTTGAGCAGCGCAATCTTTAAATTCAATGAAGACGCGTTCTGACTTGACATTTATGGTGTTGGCCAAAATTTTTGTAATTTTATCTGCCAGGGCAGTATTGTTCGACCTGCTAATTCCACTTATGCTGGTGACCCTTACGAAGCAGAAGCCGTCGTGGCTACCTCCAAAACGCATGTGCTTCTGATAGTCCAGGTTGCTCATAATGTATCCCATGGGTTTGTTCATCACTTGGGATATGGCTGCGAGGGGGAAATGTAAACCGGTGAAGAGTGGGGGGCGGCTCTCATATAGTGTAAAACATATAATGACTCATCTCACCATATACAATACAATTCTGCGTGGCAACAGTGTTGTGGAGGAAGCAGAATCGCTTCTTCTTTTTTTTATTTCTCTCCCCTCCTACGTACCATTTTCAATTTGCGTGAGCGCCTTCTTCGCGGCATCATCCGAAACGTTAATGTTTGTAGAAACTTGGCAGCACGGCATTTTGGAAAAAACAGGTGAGGGGATTTACGGTTATCAGTTGAAATGGCAAATGGGCAAAGTGAATTATTCTTATGTTAAAATTGGCTCATATATTTTTTTGCGGGCGAAGGAGTTGCTATATATGTACTCACGGGTGAGAGTTGTATATATAATAATTATTGGTAAAGGAGTTGTAAAGGCTTTTTTAAAGGGCATATATAGAAGGGCAAAAAAAAAAAAAAAAA